CATTAACTATTTTGAAATTTTTGAAGATTTAACTAACACTAAAATGTTTCATAATATTATTTCAAATAATTTTGGAGGGAAAAAAATCATTTCTTTAAATGACTAGATCAAATTTTACATGTCCTTATCAATGCTACCTTTCTATATCAGGTGCTTAGTATTAAACGAACCTACGATAATGACACTAATTTTGCTTTAGAAACAAAGAGTGTTTATAAACAAACACTCAGAAATGTTTTGTTGATCATACAGTCCAGCTGCATTTTATTTTAGAAAAAAAATATGAGAGTAACAAAGATAGTGTTATTGATTATGTTTTCCATTCTGCTAAGGATGAATTAAATCATGAATTTATTTCTTAAAACATAAGAATCTTAGTAATAAAATCAAACTTCCTACAAAATGCAGACCGATTTACCCCTATTGGAATACACACCAGTTTACAAACCTAACGCAATAGCGTGTTTAGCCAGGTGCCACGGTCGATACACACGAGTGAATTCTAGGTAACTTCAAAAGGTTTCCTAACACTCTGGAAACATCTTCATTATACTCTCTAATTGACTTAAACAGACTTCATAGCAACTGTTTAACACATTTTAACCCACAAATTAACACTCCTTGATCATTCAGATTAACCTTTCTTCTGAGTCAATTACATGACAAAAGAAAAAATAAACTTAAAAAAAATTCAGGTTTAAAAACTAAAATGTAAAGGAGAATGCTTTTTTAAAAAAATAGCATATAAATGCATATCACCACAGGGTTGGAAGAGATCGTTGAAAGGTTTCAAATTTCGAGGTAACTGGAAAGCTCACAGAAAAGCCAGAGGTGGGCACAAGAACAAAGAGAAAGGGGTAAAGAAGTGAATGGGGGAATAAGAAGTTGGAATTTATTATGGCTACCAAGGAGAAACAGAAGATGGATTCTATACAGTATCTTTAATAGGTTCACGGAAAGATTAAAACATCAGATATGAAGAAGCTAGGAAGACAGGAACGATAAGATAAAGGAACAGATAAGATAAAGACCACAAAGGGGTCTGAAGCAAGCGTGAAAGAACAGGACACAACTGGAGTTAAACAAACAAACCAGAAAAACACAGCAACAGGTGTGCTGACAGCACCAAGTATTTACCTCGGTCTCTCCTGCTCAGTGCACGGCCCTGCTCACACTCTGTGAGGGGTCACTGATGGTTACCACTGAAAAGACAAAAGAGAACAGAGTGATGACAACCAGTGAGGCAAAAAATGCAAACATGAAAAACCGTTTCTAAAAGATGAGGTAGGATTGTTCATTAGAGCTGATTCTCGATATTGTCTAAAGTTTTATGATAATCTGCCGAAAACAAAGAAAAACAGAAGTTTCTCCAATTCTAGGCATTCATCTTACCCCTCTGTCAAAGTGTTATTTAAAACTTAACTCTTCCCCACATCTTCCTGGAGTAGCCCCACTTTGACTCAAGGATCTCAGTCATTCCAGCAATCTGCCTTATTCTACTTGTGCGACTATGAGGCATTAACTGTCACAGCACCTGTATTCCCTCTGGCACAGCACTTCCCAGTTATTTCAGGCACTTGTGTAATTGTCTGTCCACCCAGATAAACTCTAAGCTTTCTAGAGGGCTCCAGCCAACCGTCTTGTGTCTCTTGCAACAAAGTGTGGGACACAGTAAACACCCAATAAATATGTGATGATTGAATGAATAAGTGAGTGAAAGCTATACACGTACTACATCACTGTGCATTTTTTAAAGCTCATCACTACTAATTCCTGGTACATCTTCTACCTTCCCAGTAGACTCTAAGTTGCTCTAGGGCTACCATCTAATTCCAGAGCATAACCATAACATTCTGTGGTCCTTAAAAACAAATACAGCTTAGTTCACTGACATGAAAACCTAAAAATAAAATACACAAGATCAAGGAAATTAAACAAGAGTTGGCAGTGAAACCAGGAGAAAGAACCAAGTAAATATAATCCTAGTATTAAGAAATAATTAGCAGAAGTACACTGTGTATATTGTGAATATTATCCATCAATAGGAAGCACAATTTACCAATACGACTCAAATTAAGAATTTGTTAATGTGTGGTGGACATTGAGTAGAATGTGATTTTCTGCTGTCACAACCACCAAGGGTCTTTAGACCCCTGCTATATCTATATCTAACTCTAGATATAGCACTCGATCAATCATGCTGAAGTCAATTATTTAATGCATGCCTACCTCGCTTATGTTAGATGCTGAGGACAAAGGAATTAAGAGATTTTTGCCCATGCTTTTAATTTATCCTGCAAACTAAACTATAGTTCAACAAACGTTTGAATTTGGTTTCATTTTTCAACTCAATAGTTTGTGGCTTTCATTTGCTCCGTTTGGAAATTCCTAAAGTACTGCTATAAATTCTTAATGTTCAAATATGTCAAAACTGAGCAACAAATATTTCACATTAATAATAATAGCTAATCTTTACTGAGTACTTACTACTTTCAGGCAGTATTATCTCATTTAATCCTCACAACAAACCTATGAGAGCGATACTATGATTATTTCTATTTTACAGGGGAAGAAACCACGGCACAGAGATTGATTAACTTAAACTGTTCACATACCCATCAAGAGGCAGAGCCGGATTCAAACCTATGCAATCTGACTCCATAGTTTATATTTCTGCTATATTAGCTTTATATGAAATGGATAAATTACCTCCTTAAAATAAGATAGTGAGAAACAATCCTATTGTAGATACACATCATTAGAATTCCAGAGAATCTAGCAAGATAGCTCGTGTTCAGTTTCTCTGACAGGTGTTCCTGCCCTCACGGCTCCTATAATTCAGTTAGGGAATCAGAACATGCATTTAAAGTGTGCAGCAATACCCTGTGGGACAGGATACATGCAAATGAGGAGTACAGACAGGACTCATTACGAAAGTTGAGAGGAGGAAGTAGTTTCTAAGGACCGGCCATCATAAAAGGCTTGATGGACGAGATGGGTCTTAAAGGAGGGATAAAGCTGATAGGTGGAAGCAAAGGGCTAGGGTGTTATAAGCCAGGGGAACCATCTGAACAAAATTAGGGATGAAGTACCAAGAAAAGATCCAACTGTTCAAATGTTTCATGTATGGAGGTAATAGGTGATGAGGCTGGAAAACTAAGGTCCGTATTGGGGAGGTAACTGGATGCCAGGTTAAGGAGTTAGGACTTTCCTCTAGAACTGCCCTGTTCAATACCATAGTCACTAGTGAGATGTGGCTAGTGAGCACTTGAAATGTGGCTAGTCCAAATTGAGATGAGCTGTACAAGTAAAATACACACCAGATTTTGAAGACTTAGTATGAAAAAGAATGTAAACTTTCTCTTTAATAATTTTTATATTGATTACATTTTGAAATGATCATACTCTGGATACATTCGGTTAAATAAAATACATTATTAAGATTCATTTCACCTATTTCTATTTACTTTCCTAATGTGGCTACTGGGAAATTTAAAATCACATATGTGGCTTGCATTTATGGCTTACATTTTATTTCTATTGGACAGTACTGCTCTAGAAACTGAAAAAAAGGAAGATTAATGAGGAGTTCATATAAAATATGTTTTAAGAAGTCTATTCTGGCATACATAGACAAATTCAGATTATAAGACAACTAATCTAGATTTTCAACAAGTCAATGTCAGGAAGAGAAAAAAAACAAGGTAGTATTGGAGAAGTGGGACTGCTCTAGCTAAAAAGATGTTTAAGAGACAGAAGAACCAAAGGCAATGTGTAGACTTTGGACCCTGATCAAGCAAACTAACCATACAAAGACATTTCTGAGACAACTACGGAAATGTAAATAAGGACTAGATATTGGATGACATCAATGAATGATTGATCATTTCAGCGGAATAATGACATTAGGGAGATAAAAGAAAAAGTTGCAAACTGAAGTATGCTTTAGGGACGCAAACTAAAGTATGTCAAAATGCAATGAGAGAAACTTAGGGTTTGCTGGGGGAAAAAAATCAGTGTATCTCTTACTTTCCAATCCCAAATAAATAAATACAAATATAAAACTGTGAATTGGGAAAATTGAGTTACTGTGATTAGACTTTTCAGAATTTGGTCAAAAAACGACTAAAAGAGAGAACACAATGAATGCCCTGATTCAATCATAAATCAAAATAAAGTACTGTCGGCATAAAAACTGAAGGACGTGAGACTATCCACACAGGGAAGGCCTAGGCGGCAGGAGGGGAGTGGGCGGCGGGGCGTCACTCTGACCGCACCATGTAGGACAACCCTGACCTCCGCCCCTTGAGGGATTTCCCTAGGGCCGCACAGAGGGTATTTCAGAACCAGGACTCCAACCAGAGGCTCTGACTTAGTCTAGGGCTCTTGGTGTCCGCTTTTCAACGCGACAGAATCCTCTGGAGAATCTAATCTATGCTTTTTGCTTTAGATTTTTTCACTTTCCCGTGTCATTGTTATTCTAAAGTTCATTCCATCCTTAAATAATCCACCAGATTAGAATACTTCATTTAACGTGCTCAGGCTTATCTCGGCTGTTTCTCAAAGTGAGATTTGATAGAAGATAAACAAGAACATGGAAAACAAATCTGAGCAGCGACCCCGGGAAAACCACCCTAAGCTCTCGGAGCGCAGCGTCCCCCACGCCGCTCGGGGAGCAGGAGCGAGCGAGGGAGGCCCGGAAAAGGCTTTACGTCCAAGCCGGCTGCTACGGTCCCAAAGAAGTCGCTAGGCTGAACAGCCTTTCTAGGAAAGACGCGAGAACGGAGGAGACCCCCGGCCGGCACAGGCGGCACTGCGGGGACGCGCGGCCGGGGACCGGGGACCCGCGAACGCGCCGCGCCCCCACTTACTGCTCGGCGCCCTCGCGGGCGGCGCAGGTTTCCATAGCGACCGCGTCCGGCGCGGGGCGGTGCTTCCGCTCGGTGCCTCGGCCACTGCGGCTCGGCTAGAAACGGGGCCACGTCCGCGCCCCGGCTTCCGGCGGAAGGAGACGCCGGCCCGAGTGGGCGGCGGGCGGCCGGGGCGCAGGGTGGGCCGGTGCTCGGCTGACCTCTCTGGCCTTGGGCTGCGACAGACTCGAGCCTCGCGGACGCCGGGCCTCCTTCGCTGCGATGGCGGCGCGCGCCCCGCGTCCCGACCCGTACGGCGCGCTGGGCGCGGGGCCCTCGGCGGGCGCGGCCGAGCTGCGGCGGCGCTACCGGCGGCTCGTGCGCACGGTGAGTCCGCGCCGCGCGGGTGCTGGGCCGCGCGCCACGTGACGGGCGAACCGGGGCCTCGAGCGTGGAGGGGCTGCGGGGCGCCCTGGGCGGGGTCCGCGTCTCGGCGGTGGAGCGGAGACCTGGCCGCCGCTGCCGGCATGAGCGACTGGGCCGCCTTGGGGGCGGGACGGCGGCGTCCAGGTGAGGGGCTCGCAGGTGCGCCGCGGGGGGCGGGGGGCGGCGTCCAGGTGAGGGGCTCGCAGGTGCGCCGCCGGGCGCGGGGCGGCGGTGTCCAGGTGTGGGGCTCGCAGGTGCGCCGCCGGGGGACGGGGGTCGTCCAGCTGAGGGGCTCGCAGGTGCGCTGCGGGGGCCGGGGGTCGGCGTCCAGGTGAGGGGCTCGCAGGTGTGCCGCAGGGGCCGGGGCGTTGGCATCCAGGTGAGGGCCTCGCGGGTGTGCTGAGAGGAGGGCGGGGCGGCGTCATCCAGGTGCGGGGCTCGCAGGTGCGCCGCGTGGCACCAGTGAGCCGCCCAGGAGCCCCCAGCGCCCGCTGGCTGTTGAGCGCTGCAGTGGGGCCATCCAAGGAGAGATAGGCTATAAAGGTGACAGGCACATTGGACCTCGGAAACGTCGTGCAAAACAAGGATACAGGGTAATCTAGAACTTGTTCATGTGGATTACATGTTGATAGTGTGTGCTGGCTAGTTTTGTATATACGGGCTACTTTTCATATTCTCTACATGATATATGCACAAGTATTTGCATATATAATAAAATGTACTATAGAAATTGATTTCATCTGCTTTTTACTATTTTTAACATTGCGTAGGTGGCTTGCATGTATACTTCTCATTATGTTTCAATTGAATAGTGCCAATTTAGGCCGTTGATATGCTGTTTTTCACCAGACTCCATTCTTCTGTGAAATGAGTTGTGGTATTTATCAATATACAGTATCTTTCTGAATGTTGTATTATTTTTTTTCAACCTATATTGTATGTTTCTTAAGCCAGTGTTGGTGGTCTCCAGTTAATTTAGTTTGCAAAAAGAGTGGAGGACCGTTACTTACATTCATCAGTTGTTTTTCTAGTTTTTATCAAATAGATCTGTGAGATTTTGCTGTAACTGTTAGCGTTTATTGTGAGAGACAGTAGGTATTGCGCTGTCAAGAATGTATTAATATCCCTTCTTTGGATACTACGTTGGACTAAATGGCTTTAAGGTTTCTTTTATCTCAGAATTTTTAAGATTTCCGAGAGTGAAAGCAAGTAGACTTTATTGAAAAATTTCTTAATACCAGGTCATTCTCGTACTTCAGTTAAGTGGGACAGGAGGCTGCAGAAGTAGGCTAGGTCTAGATCACGCAGGGCCTCGTTGGCCATGTCCGTCTCTGATTTGGCAGTGAGAAGCCATTTGTACTTAGTATAACAAGCATCCGTCAAACCCAAAGTGAATGGACCCTTTTGCACATCCTCTGGCAACGTATCAGAGCATTCCAGTTGCTCCACATCCTCACCAGCATTTGGCGGTGTTAGATTTCAGCTGTGGGCTTTCTCAATTTTGCCGCCATTGACATTTTGAGCGGGATAATTCTTTGATATGAGGGGCTGTCCTGTGTATTGGAGGTTGTTTAGCAGCATTCTAGATGCCACTTACTAACTAAAAATGTCTCCTGGGGGTCAAAATTGCCAACCTCCCCATCCCATTGAGGACCACTGCACAATTTGTGGTGATATCTCATTGTGGTTTTGTGTTTCTCTGATGACTAATGATGTTAAGCACTTTTTAATGTGATTATTAGCCATTTATATAATTTTTGTTGTTGTGTCTTTTTAAAAAATTAAATATATTCTTGATCTGGTGTATATTTTCTCCTAGTCTATGACTTGGCAGCGCATTTTCTTAATGATGTTTTTTGATGAGCAGTTTTTTGTTTTGACAAAATACAATTTATCAGATTTTTGTTTTCTGGTTAGTGCTTTCTGTGTTTTCTCTAAAAAGGTCATGAGAATATTGTACATTTTCTTCTAGAAGCTTTATAGTTTGCTTTTACCATTAGACCTATGATTTTCATGTATGGTGTGAGATGGGAAGTCGTGTTTTTGTCTTTCTTTCTATATGAATATCCAGTTCTTTCTCATTTATTGAAAAGATTTTCCTCTCTCCTTTGGATTGTCTTGGCAATGTGGGTCTGTTTGGGACTGTATTCTCTTTGGTATATTTGTCTGTCCTTCTACTAATGCCTCTCTTGATTACTGTGGGGTTATAGTTAGTTTCAAAGTTACATAAAGTTCTCTAATTTTTTCTTTCTTTTCAGGTTTATTTTGGTTATTTTAGTTTCTTTGCATATCCGTAGAAATTTAGAATCAGCTTGTAAATTTCTATTTAAAAAATCCTGCTTGAATTTGAATTGACTGTGTTGAATATACATCTATCTTAACAATATTGAGTCTTCTAATCCTTGAGTATATCTGTCCATTACTTGTCATCTATAATTTCTCTCAGAAATATTTTAAGATTTTCAGTGTAGTATTACACATCTTTCTTTGAATTTATTTCTAGTTTTTTAATATTTCTGATTCCATTGTAAATCATATGTTTCTAAAAAAGTTCATTTTCCAGTTGCTGATTGATGGTATATAGAACTATAGTTTATTTTTATATACTGATCTTGTATCCCACAATCTCGGTAGATTTGCTTCTAAATTGTCTCATAGCTGTTTTTGTAGAGTCCTTAGAATTTTCTACCAATAAAATTATGCCATTTGCAAATAGAGTTTTAATTCTTTCTAATATGTATGCCTTTTATTTCTTTTTCTTGCCTTAATGCACTAGTTATGTGCTTCTGTTACAATGCTCAGTTGAAGTGGTAGGAGTAAATACCCTTGCCTTGTTGCTGGTATTGGGGGGAAACCTTCAGTATTTTACCGTTAAATATAACGTTAGCCGTATGTTTTTTAAGATACACTTTATCAGGGTAGGAAAATTCTTCCTAGTCTGCTGAGCATAGTTATCATGAATGGGTATTGAATTTTCTTAGATTTTTTTTAACATTTATTGAAGTTTGCATGTGTTAATTTTCCTCTTTTAATCTGTGAATTACATTGATTTTTTTTTTTTTTTGAGGAAGATTAGCTCTGAGCTAACTACTGCTAGTCCTCTTTTTTGCTGAGGAAGCCTGGCCCTGAGCTAACATCCGTGCCCATCTTCCTCTGCTTTGTATGTGGGACGCCTACCACAGCACGGCCTTGTCTGCACCTGGGATCCAAACCGGCGAACCCCGGGTTGCCTAAGCGGAACGTGCGAACTTAACTGCTGCGCCACCGGGCGGCCCCTACATTGACTTTTCTTATGTTAAATCTATTTTGTGTTACTAGGATAATGAATCTCACTTGTTCATGAAGTATTGTGCTTTCCTTATGTTGCAGGATTCTCTTTTGTTAAGGATTTTAATGTCTAGATTCATGATGTATTGGTGTAATTTTTTTTTCTTATATGTCCATGTCTAAATTTAGTATCACAGTTATGCTGGCCTCATAAAATAATGGGGGAATGATTCCATTTTCTTTCTTCTCTAAAGAGTTTGTGTAAGATTGCTATTTCTTATTTAAATATTTAATAGAATTTACTGGGGAGGTCATCTGGGCCTGAAGTTTTCTTTGTGTAAAATTTCATAATTGTGAGTTTAATCATTTTTGGAGATTACAGGACTATTCAAATTTTTTATTTCCTGTTTGTCAATGTAGGTGAATTGTATTTTTCAAGAGTTTTTAAATTTCATTTAACAAGTCCGATTTATTCTCATAATGTTCATACTATCTCCTTATTATCCTTTTATTGCTGTAAGATATGTAGTTATGTTTTTCTTTTCATTCTTTATGTTGGCAGTTTGTGTTTTCTGTTTATTTTTTCCTGATCAGTCTTGCTAAAGGTTTATCCATTTTATTAATCTTTGCCAAGAACCAGCTTTTTAGTTTGTGGATTTTTTTGTTTGTCCACTTTCTCTTCACTTGATTTCTGCTTTTAATTTTATTATATTCTTCTGCTTACCGCTCTTCTTTTTCTAGCGTATCGTTGTGGAACATACCTGGTGGATTGCACACCTGTCCTCTCTCCTCATGTAGCCATTTAAAGCTATGCATCTCTCTCAGCTCGGAGCACTGCATTAGCTGCATCCTGTGCTTTCAGTTCAAAATATTTTTAAATTTCTCTGTAATAGTTTTCTTTGACCTGTGGGTTGCTAAAAAGTACATTAATTTCTAAATGTTGGAGACTGTTCAGATATCTTTCTATTATTGATTTCTGATTTAATCCTGTTGTGAGTGGAGAATGTACTTGGAATGATTTCATTCCTTTGAAATTTGTTAAAATTTTTTTTATGGCCCAGCATATAGTCTACCTTGGTGAATGTTCCCATGCACTTGAAAAATTTGTGTTCTGAGGTTATGGAGTATAGTGTTCTATATATGTCTATTAGGTCATGTTGATTGGGTGGCTCAAATATTCTATATCCTTAATGATTTTTTAATCTATTTTTAAAATCAGTTTCTGAGAGAAGGACATTAACATTTTCAACCGTGATTGTGGATTTGTGTTTTTCTCTTTAATTCTCTTAATTTTTGTTTCATTTGTTTGGGATCTTTTGTATTAGGTGCGTATATATTTAAGATGGTCATGTCTTCGTGAGTTTGAACCTCTGATCGTTATAAAATTCCCCTCTCTATTTCTCATGGTACTCTTCTTGAGGTCTATTTTGATATTTAACAGCCATGCCAGCTTCCTTATACTTAGTGTCTGTAGGATTTATCTTTTCCCATCCGTTCACTTTCAGTCTCTCTTTTATGTTTTGAGTGTGTTTTCTTGTATATGGCGAGTAATTGAGGCCTTAAAGACATTTCAGTCTGTCAGTGTCTGCCTTTTATTGGGGACGTTTAGTCCATTTACATTTTTCCCCAGCTGTATTGAGCTGTAACTGACATAGAACATTCTGTAAGTTTAAGATGTACAACGTGATGATTTG